TCTTGCGACCATGATTTTACAAAATTATCTTTAACTCCTTCAGCTTCTTTATTTGTTAATATTCCAAATAATATATCTGATTCATTTTACCAGAGTCAAGTATATGTAGTATATAAGGATACAATTTTTCAACCAAGTTTTGCTATACGATATGCAACAGAGTTTTATAATAATTATTCTATTCAATATCAGGATAATATTAACAAACCTAAAATTTTACTTTTATATACTGATGGTGGTCCGGATCACTGATGCACTTATGGATCTATTCAAATATCATTGATAGCCTTGTTTTTAAAAGGTAACTTTGATTTCTTAGCTGCTATACGAACTGCACCCTATCATAGTTGGGCTAATCCGGCCGAATGCGTCATGTTAATATTAAATCTTGCTTTGCAAGGTATTACTTTAAAATGAGAATCTATGAGTGAATCATCAGAACAAGCTTTTGATAAGCTTAAAAATTTATCTGAAATCCGTGAGAGAGCCAATTCTAATTTGAATTTGAAAGAAGAGCTTATTGAATCAATTAGCATTACTCAAGACTTCCTTGAAAACCGTATCTCACATCTTTCTTTACATGATTTAAAATTCAAAATTGCTTCTCCTGCTATAGAACCTGAAATTGATTCTTTATTTGAGATATGAGATATTTATTGTATTAATATTTGTTTAAACTTATTTTTGTTAATTATTATATTAATATTATGCACATTGTATCTAGTCTATATTATCAGTTGAAAGTCAGCTTACAGTTAATAATACAACACTTGTAGAATTAAGAAAATTTAACAAATTAAAAGAATTTATTGATACACATTGTCAAATCAAACAATATTCGTTTCAGGTATGTTAAATAGAAATAAATGCTTTATATCCTTTGTATTTAAAATTCATTATAAAACTGTAATTCTGTAGATTAAGAAATGCAATAATGTTGAGTGTGATATCTGTTTGCCAGTTGAATTACCAATTGAGGTATTTAATGAATTGCATTTTTTGCCTGATCCTGAACCATCTATTGGTAAGAATTATACAATTTTTTGATATATTATTTCGTAAGTGTACAAATACTAATTACATCTTTGAAATTTTTATTTTAGCTGATCCTGATCACTATAAGGATTTTTTAAGCGTATATGGTACTCAAACATCTGAAAAGTTTCGTCCAAGTAAAGCGGGATAACCAGAAGCTGATAATTTACCCCAGAGCATCTTTAATAATAATCGTGTTTGAGAGTTTGTTGAATGTGATTTTTGTGGAAAAATTCGATGTATTTATAGTATAAATGCTCTGAAAAAGAACAGATATTCATATTACAACTCAAAATAGATGATACTGATTTTACTTGCAGGATGGAAGGATGGATACCACTTTCACACGAGTTGAAAAATATAATTTTTATTCGTCAATCTCTTAGCTGTGATTCTCTAATCGAAAGTGGTTATTATTCAAGCCGTTTAAAAAAATCTTCTATTTGTTATTATTGTGGTAAAAATAATTTATTAGTGGAGGCAAGTGATGATTTACTTAATGGATATCAATCTGTATATCCACTTTGTTTTAATTGTCAACTTTCAGGTCATTCTTTTCATATTTGGGGTAAAAAAAAAGTTGGGAAATCAACAAAAAAAAGAAAAAGGATATAATAGTATAGTATAATCTTAATCTTTTAATAAAACAATTCTTAATATAATCTTTTAATAAAAAAATTTTTCAAATAAATTGATTTTACATTATATTTTTTATGAAATCACGTGATATATAAATGTTTGTTTAAATCTAAATTTTTGAAAAAATAGAGGGGGGAGGTTGATATTAAACGAAACTATTTGTTGGAGCGGCCTTATGTAGAATATAATATAAAAGTATCACAATAAATTTTAAATAATACAAAAATTATTTTGAGTTAACTTTTTGAACATTTCAAATATAAATCATATGTTATTATAAATATTAATAAAGATTGAGCTAAATTATACCAACTATTGTATTTGATATATTAGGTTATTATGATTTAAAATATTTCAATTGGAATAAAAAAAATACATTGATTTTGGTATTTTTTTTATGTAATTGTAAAATATTACTTCTAATAAAACTTATCCAATAATATTTAGATTTTGATAAAATTTGATATTTTATTTTATTAGTATTATTTTATACTATTATAAATTTATTAAATTATTTTAAATGTTAATATTAATTCAAAAATAAAAATTACTCAAAATCAAAAATCTGAGTAGATTAACATATTATTAGAAATGTTATTTTAAATTGAAGAATTTTTATAAAAAGGTAAAAGATTAAAAGATGTTATAATAAAATTAATTATTTTGAATAAATCGGTGATTAATTTTAATAAATAATATTAATAATATATATATATATATTTTGTTTTTGTTAAGCCTTGAATACTTCTAATTTAATAGAATTGATTTAATAAAAAAGATCTAGTATTACATTAAATAAAGCCATTTTTGATTCTTGTGTGACGAAACAATGTGAGTAACGTAATACTTTTTTTTTTATTATGTTATTTTCGGAAAATAAGGGAAGAAACGAAAGTTTCATTCATATCGTTCATATCTAAAAACCGAATACTGTATCTTTTGTTCTCTTTAAATTAATGATTTTTTTTATTTATGAAGTAAAGATAATCAAATGGCACTTCGAAACGATCTTTTGAATCTCGGAATTATTATTCCCGTTTATTGAAAAAAAAACCTTATGAATGTTGCATCCTTCAGCCCTGCTGTAGGTCAAAAAAAATTCTAATTCAACTTTTTCAAATAATGCGACGCAGTAAATTGTGACAAAAAAGGAAATCCATTTTCGACGGCAAAAAAAAAAAACAATTATAACGTCCTTATTAATTCATACATTTCGGGAAATGTCGTGTTTGAGATGCAATGTTGCATACAAAGGACACAACAGTTTTACTTTAATTTTAAACCATAACAAGAAATGAACTTCTATAATTAGAAGTTGGAAGTTTCATTATATAATGATAAATGAACAAAGTTACGAATGTCTTATCTGTTAACATCTATACGAATTCCTTCTGAAAAAAAAATTGAATTTTCATCGTTTTTCGGATTAACGACATGCAGTTATCTTACGATTTGTAAGACAAAAAAAAAAAATTAAAAATAATAATAATTATTATTTTCCTTATATACCTAGAATACAACGTTTTTGATTTTTTTTATAAATAAATAAATTATTTCCAATAATAAACTGTTCGATAAACTTTGATTGAATGAAAATAGATAAAGGTAATAATGGTTATGTAGATATGGTGTATGTCGTGTATACTGTTTTATCTTTCTTCGTTACTTGCGTATATTTAGTGTATTTCATGTCGTGATCCTTTCTTTACTTACTTATATACTGTATATAGATTATTTATATATTTTGTTTCGAGTAAAAGATCTTTTTTTGACACGCATTTACTTTATTCTTATATGTTAATCAATTGATTTTTACCTATTAAAATATGTCAGATCATAAACAAAGATGTAATTGTGTGGTTTTTGTTTCGAAAACATTTGAAAATTTGTTATATAAGAAGTGCGTTTAAATGTTTTTAGAAAGATCACTTTAATCAAATTATTCAATTTTTATTTTTCTTTTTTTTTTTCTTTTTTTTTTTTTTTTTTTTTTTTACAATTAAAATAATAATCATAATAAAAATGGGAGTATCTTGTGGCAAAGATCGAAAAGTTGATAATAAAACTAATGGAAAAAATAACTTTTTTCATAAGAAAAGTAAAAAAGATCCGAATCATCCATATCCGTCATTATCCACATCACCTTTTGGGGTATGCTCGGATTGCAATTCACCTAACACCGATAAACCTCAATACAATAAATATGGATGGTGTCATTCATGCAATTCAACTAGATTTGAAAAAGAACTGTCTTCGTGGACAAGTAATAATCCTGAGATTGATAATTTGATTAAAGGTTCTCAATTAAATGCCATGAAGAGTCGACAAGTATTAGAATGGATACCTTATGAAAAGTTATATAACGTACAATTTGTCGCTAAAGGTGGATTTGATTGTATTGTTTATTCCGCAACCTGGGTCGAAGGTAATATCCTTTTTTGGGATTCAAAGAAACAAAATTGGGTTCGTCGTGCTCCAGTCCCAGTTGCATTAAAACGTTTCGAAAATTCTCATAATATCACCGCCGATTTTTTCGAAGAGGTAAATTTAAGTTGATTCGATCAAATGGCGTCTACTTGAATTTAATGCTTACAGGAAAACCTTTTTTTTTATTTATTTGTTTTTTGTATAACAATAATATATTATAGCTTAGAACGTATTGCCAATACGGAATGAATAACGATGGGTTAATTGAATGTTATGGAATCACTCAAGATCCCGTAACGAAAGATTATATTTTAGTGACCGAATTTGCTTCTCAAGGAAATTTGAGAAATTCTTTGATAAAAAATAATCAAGTATTGAATTGGGAACGAAAAATAGATTTACTTTTAAAAATTTCAATGACGTTACAAGATATTCATTCATCTGGATTCGTCCATCGTAATTTGCATAGTGGCAACATCTTACAGACCGATCAGGGTTATCCAAAAATAAGTGATATGTCATTATCCAAATTTATCGATCATGAGAAAAATCAACTGCTATATGGTGTTTTACCATATGTAGCACCGGAAGTTTTACGGGGAGAAGAATTCACTTCGGCCGCCGATGTATATAGTTTTTCAATGATTATGTGGGAAATTTCTTCCGGTATGACATTATTTAGCAGCAGAAAACACGATATTCAATTGGCTATTGATATTTGTAATGGAATAAGACCAAAAATCGTGTCGGGAACTCCAAAATCTTTTTCAATGCTTATGGAAAGATGTTGGGATGCCGATCCTTTAATGCGTCCAAGTGTGCAAGAGATTACAGCAGTGCTATTCCGCTGGCATTTTCATTTGGAACAAAATCGCTCTATTGACATATGTAAAGCATTCATGGTTAACGGTCATGAAAAGAGTTATTTTCAACCATCAAATAGTTTACAAGATGTTACAATTACGGTTGAAACCAATTATAATAGCCAATTGCTCGACTTTAAAGATCTTCCCGAACCCACAAATTTCTACTCTCGAAATGGTCACGATTCGGCATTTGGAAGCATGTCAAGCAGTAAGTATTGTTTTTTTTTTTTTTTTTTGGAAAAAAACAATTTATTATCGTTTGTTAATTACTATTTTTTTTTTTTTTTTTTTTTTTCCTTAGTTGAAGCAAGTAGCAAAAGTCATCGTATCTCGGAGAGTTTGACAAGTTTGGCAAGTTCGGGTAAATTTCAGATTTTTTTTTATCCGTAAATTTTACTTTTCCGTAAATGATCGGATGACGAATTAATTGTTTGTTCAACACAGATTCTTGTGACAAATCTTCAACACGTCCTTTATATGTTAATTTACTGAGAAAACAATATCAAGATGATGCGAATTGTGTAATTTATGCAGAGCCCGAATCTTATTTAAGTAAGAACAAAATATTTTCTAGTCCAATATAAAAAAAAAATTACTCTTTTTTTTTATTTATAACATTTTTATTTATAGATGATGATGAAGACGATGATGATGTAAGTCAACTCGAAACAATACAAGGGCAAGAAACTAATTCTGACGACGAAAAAGGTTCCGAAACAACTTTCGCAATGGATTATGAAATAATGGACAAACCTAAACAAATAGAAAACGAATTAAAAAATTCTATTTATACAACGGAGAACATCGTGGTTTCATTATAACCTTGGAGTTAGAATCATATGAAACAATCTGATTTGATTGATAAGATTTTTTTTTATTCACGTTACAATGTAAATATTGATTTTAAAAAGTTTGATACAATATAAATATTATTTGATTGTTTGTTCATTTAATATAAGTATCACATTAAGCGGATATTTAATGAACATTTCACATCAAAAGATCTGATCGAGATGTGCCTATCATTCAACTTCAAAATTAGTAAATGTTTTTCTAATAATAAAAGTGATTTCACGCAATCTAACGTAAAGTGGGAAAAATCAATGATTGTATAAATATATCATCAATTAATAAACAATATATTTTTTTTTATTAGAAAAAAAAATTAAGTTTGGTATTTAAAATTATTTCTAAATATAATGTTTACAGATAGATAGACTATGCGGAATTTAATTGACTAATATTATTATGACCGATATAGTTACTCCCGTTCATTAACCAAATAAAGGATGGTGGAATTTCTATATTTTTCGGGACCTGTATCAGTGAAATGTTTCACTATTTACATTCCCTCGACCAATGACTAATTAAGAATTCATCCAAACGGTTTGTGGCAACTTCAATAAATCATTTAATCATTCGATTTTTCTTACTCGCTATTAAAGAGATGATAAAATCTTTTTTAAAATCAACTGTCATTTAGGAATTCCTAACAGACTTAATTTTCCGAATTATTTTGAATGACAACGGATTGAAAAATACTTCAGAGATTGAACAACCACTACTTTCTAATGATTAACCATATCCACGTGAAATGTACAATACGACTAATCGTTAAGAATTATTTTAACTAAATCTACCGTGATAGGATTCAATAAAAATAGAGGAGTTATAAAAAATATCTCCTGAAATATTTTAAACGAATCATCTGGAAAATTAGACAATCTTTGGAAGTGCAAACCCAAGAGAAACCCCGAGTAAATATTTAAATTCAAGTAGAACCATCTCGAGAGCTTGAGATATTAGATCATGTTCAATAATGAGGAAAAGACAGCTATATTGATCTTTTTGCGCATTTAATATACCAACATCTTTATTTATAGCACCAGGAATTTGAAAAAAAATACGTGAGCGAGAAGGGATATTGAGATTTAACTAACTGTAAAATTGTGAATATTATGCGTAATGAATGAAATAATTGTTACATCAATTAATAAATGATTAAATTCAGAGGAATTCTCTTACGTCCTAAATTTCCAAATATTAAATTACTTACTCCGACCATTACTACAGTATAAATCAAAAACCAACAACAATTAATTTATTAGCGAATTGTTTGTCGTGAATCTTGGTTCTTAATTATATTTAATTAAGCACCGATTTGTAATGATAATATTCTATCAGATAGCGTTCCCACAAAAGACGATTTTTTGGCACTTATAGAAATAGATTAGTGAAATGATTGATGGTAATAATCCAGAAATATCGATAATAATATTTTGTAAATTTTTAATCTTTTCTAATAATTCAATAGATTAATTTTCAGCGAGAATAAAGTGAAGGAGAAATTATAACATGTACAATAGAAAACAGATTAATGGTGGATAGGTAATGATAGTATTTTATAGAGTCAAGCTTGATGTTTCAGTGATCAATTCATTATATTAAATTAAAACTATTTGTTAATACTTTATTTGATGAAAGTTAAATATTTCATATTATTAGTTTGACTTTACTATAAGATTTAAATAGATTTAAATACTTTGCATTATGTTCTTTTTAAGTGATATTCTTAAACTTACATTTTTCTAAATAATTTAAATTTAGATTCATTATTTCAAATAATATTTTCTTAAATATTTGTCTATTATTTTGTTTTTTAATCAAAATAAATTTATTTTCTTATTTTATTTTATTTATAAGAGCTTTTCTAACTTCAACTTAAATTTAAATCCTTATTTATAAAAATAATTTCTTATAGTTTTTTAATATACATTTTTTAAATAAAATTTACAAAATTCTTGATCAATTTATATTTATCTTTTTAAGAATTCTTAAATAATAACTATTTTTTTCTATTTAAAAAAGATCTGTTAGATCTAAAAAAAAAAATTTTTTTATAATTAAAATTAAATTATAACATGAATAATAATTTAAAATTTCATTAATCTTTTTTTATTTAATCTATATTTTAATATTAACAATTTTTATACTTAAAATAAAAAGTTTTTCAGTAACTATATTTAAAAATTAATATAAAAATAATTAATAAATACATTCTTATTAAATTTTTCAGATACTGTAAATATAGTAAATTATTTAAAATATTTAAATTTATTATAATTATATTAGCATATAATAAATTAGATAAAATTTAATAATAATAAATATAATCAATTTTAATTATATAATATAGGTTGATTGTTAAAAAAATCAGGTTCTGATAATTTTTAATAAAATGAGATTTTTATTGCATTTTAATTTTTAATATTATTAAAATAAAATGTACTAAACTCTTAATTTTAGTTAAAAATTTCTCAAAATCTGATTTTTAAAATTTAATTATATATTAAATAAATAAAAAAAATTAAAATTATATTAGTTTTATCCCTTAAACTGTAGAGGTTCGCAGGCAAATTTGCCTGCTTATTTACTATAAATTCCCTTCTGATTTATTTTTATGAAAAATTAAAATTTTTAAAAAAATTTTTTTTTATAAATATATATAATATTATAGTAAATTTTAGTTTTTAATTATATAATAAATAATTTAAGGTTACTTATAAGC